AAAGGTGTTACTCAAGAGGTGCGAAAGGAGGACTGACTGATAGTTAGACTTTCTGTGATCTTTTACACAGAATTGCTAAAAAAGTAGCTACGAGGTCAGAGCTAAGATGTTGTCATGGATCAAGACCTGTCTAAGGGGCAGGAAGTAAAGAGGTTGCAGGATTGATTTTCCTCAGCAGCAGATAAGCAGCAAGTCCTTACAAGTTACTTCAGGAGCTGCTGTGTTGCTTAATATATTTACTCAGCGATGGGGAAAGAGGGATGAAGCACGAGGTAGAAGTATTTGCTCCTTGGGGTTACTGACTTTAGCAAGGACAGAACATGAGAAATTTCAGAGATACCTAAACTATTTAGAATAATGGGCAAGAAGAAGCTTGATGTTGGCAAGAATATATTGAAAAGAAAAGAAAGAAAATGAAGCGCTGAAAGCTGAGAGTATTAAATCAGCTGCAGGAAGGGAGCCTAGTGTCACTGTAAATGTGTTACTGAAGACTGGAGGAGGAAAGCTAAACAAGGAGTGAGGAGAGATAAGGAGTGAATTATAAATAAGAATGAATTAGCATGTATAGAGCCAAATCAGAGGTCAGCAAAAGAATATGACAGTAGCAAAGTTAAACACAGAAAAGTTAGGGCTGCATTGCTGATTTAAATACGCACCTTCCCTAATTCACTGCCTCTGGTTGCGTGCACTTTATCCTGAAGCCTTCAAGCAACAGACAATTTACAATGCACTTAACAATTTAAAGAGGAAGACAAATGAAGAATATTATCCCCATATTATGAAGAGATAATTTCCATATAGTTATTCAGTACCTTAAAAGTATGCAATAAGCCTGCTCAGGACATGGTACTGGGGAAGAGTTTGCAATTCCTGTGCATGAGAGTGCAGGCACAGATCCTCCCTAGTGAAAGTATAACCCAGATATCTCATTTCCAGAGAAGACAACTAACCCTAAACATCTGGTACTAGCCCAACAGCTGCTGGGCTTGCCTGTACATCCATTTCCCCATTCTCTCTGTTCAGCTCCCCGGCCTTTGGTTTTCTCTCAGGTAGGCAACCCAGTTATAGGTGGGCAGCCAGCTTGCTAATCCAACGAGGCAACACAGGGACCATTTAGGAAAGAATAGGGTACTCCCACTACTTAATTACTAGCCACGTTACCTGCCTGAAGAGTATTAAGTCACCCGAGTAATTACAACATTACAAGGGGGTCAAAGCTGAACCCTTCCTGCAAGTCTCCAAAACATGAGTTCAGGTATGAGCAGCACCGTTGGGCTAGGGATGAGAGGAAGCGTGAGGGGGTTTTTTCCTGTTGGGGAAAGGTGCAAAGAGTCCTCCAGTTATAAAACAAGAACTTTATTCTCCTAGAGGGCTTGGTGCTGAGGATTTATGAATTATTAAAGGAGCTTCATATGTTGTTTGCAGCATCACCACCTCCACTGCTATCTGAGGGTTTTTCCTCAAACTTTTGAAACTCGGGGAGAGTTTTTCAGTGACGGCTCTTAATCCCATGGCAGAGCAGAGCTCAGGAACATGAAGGAGATGAAAGCCTAGAAGGGAGGAAAAGAACTCTAACCAGCAACAGAAAGTCTCTTAAAAAAAAAAAATAGGAAGAGTGCCAGTTCGTGCCACCACCTCCTCATTCCGCCAAGGGCCAGGCCCTTTGGCTTTCCCAGGTGGCAGCACACGGGGATTTTTGCACAGCAACGTGTTTTTGTGTTGTCACTTTTCAGTCTCCCTTGCAACCATGTCATGCAGAGCAAGAAGTCGCAAGTTTGCAGAGCCCATGCTTGGAGCACAGCCCCGAGCAGAGCCCCCGAGCCACAGCGGGCGCATATTTTGGACCCGAATTTTAGCAAGGGCCCAGATGTTTTACTATTCTTGCCCATATATAAGTTCCCAAGCTCCAACAGCTCATAGTTATGCCAGCAGCCTACCAGAGCAGTTGGTACCAGCAAGCACATTTGTCTAGTGACAACAGCGATCAGAAAAGCTTGCCAGGAACTAATTGAATAATGGGAAATCATTTCCCCCATTTTCAAGCAAAACGATCCCTGTTTGGGTAGCGTGATTTGCAACCAATTATTCTGCTAGCGCTGATTGTACTTCGGGGAGCTCTTGTGTTTCTCTGCAGTGCTTAGCAGCTGCTCACAGGGTTAGTGTCGCTACTCCTTTTGCTTGCGGAGTTCATCCTGCAGCGCTGACAGCAAGAACAGTGCCAGCAGGTGCGCAGTATACCCCTCACAGGGCTTGGAAACCCATCCCAACCAGGGAGGGGCAGCAAACACCTTATTTGGGAATTGGGATCCCCAATTCTGAAGTATCTCAGTTTATGCTAGCATGGGGAGGAAGGGCTGACAGGGAATGCTCCTGTAGAGCCTTGAAGCCGAGCGGCGCTGCTCCACCGAGATGCCACCATGGAGCAGCACTCGAGAGCTGAAAGCCTCAAGTTTATAAATGCACAGGGCCTGTGTCATAACCTGCCCCACTGCCCAGTCCAGAGTGCATGCCCTGCACACCCATATATAACCGAAGCCACGGGTGCACCCCTCAGATCCAAAGCAGACCTGCCGGGAGGCTCAAAGCGCAGTGCTGGGACGCAGCTCCACTGCAGCTTTTGCTGGGAACCAGGAGCACTGCCACTCCTTGGGGAATGGAGCAGAGGAAGAGCTTCAGCTTTGAGGACACAGGTGGCACTCATAGGAACTAGCCAAATTGCAACACCCAGATTGTCACCTTGCAGTCATATCCACCTACATATTTTGATATAAACTTGAAGCAGAGATAGAAAGCCACCCGATCACCACTGCAGGAGGGGACTTCTCTTTGACTTCAGGTTTTCAGACTCTTCCTGGCAGAACTACTGGGTTTATAATGTTTTCTCTAACTAACAAACAGGCCTTAGATGCAGCTGGAGCTGCTCTGCTCAGCATGGGTTTGCGCCTTCTTCAGTAACTACACCAGTAGAAAAGCCTTTGCATAGCAGATTAAAGCAGACTTCTGTATCCACCACATATGCTTGTGGAGAGCCAAACTAAGCTCAGTTTGCTCTGAACAACTGCCACAGCCTATTCCATTTTAGCATCATCAGGTTAATTCACTGCAACTCCAGGAAACCCAGATCCTTACCGTTCCAGAGGGGATAAGTAAGAGCCTCTTCCTTCTAACGCAGCAGAGCTGCAGAACACACACTCCACCAGCCAGAGGTGACTCACAAGACAGTGGAGCTCAGTTCCCTTAACTACTGCTTCCACTCTGTCACAGATGGTAGTCACAGCTTTTGGGGCTGGGCCTTGGTCTTTTCCCCTTATCTCTTCCCTCTTGCCCAAAACGTTGTCCTGAGTCTGTATACGTCTGCCCAAGTCTGTATAGGTGTGCTGTTAATAAAAGCTAGCCTATGGTCTTTCTGCTGCTAGAACAAGCAAGGTTGCAGATACTCAATTTTTCTGACCTAAGAATAGGGAAGTGCTCACATCCTGCTCAAGGAGGCATGTTCTGGTTTGCTAGGTTTGTGGCTGTTGAGGCATAGAACTTACTTATTTGTGTTACTTATTCTTGGAGAAAAAGGAACTTTTAAGCCTGACCTCAGTGCCTACCTGCAGGGGCAGTTGAACACAGCAGACACGAAGCAGCACAATTGGCACCTAACCTTGGCCTCCTTCTTGCAGTTCCTTCCTCAGCTGAGTTTCTCAAATCTCTGTATTAAGGGGAGCCTGCCCATCCATTAGGAACCTGAAAACTCCAGCAGAGAGGCAGGAAGGCATGCAGAGACTGAGCTAATGGTTTCCAGAAGATGAAGCGATGAGGCCAACAGATATTAAGTATCAAAAGCCAGGCCTTGAGTCTGGAAATGCAGTCAAAGCTTGTGGAAGTTTGGTGAATGTCGGGGTGGTGCAGAGCTAGCCTGGGAGATGTCGGAGCACCCGCACCAAAGCCCTCGACGCTGCCTGCCGGGCTGCTGAGCGGCGCCACGAGCGCTCCCTCCACCCAGGCAGCGCCCTGCAACGGGCCGTGTGCGATTGGTCTTCATTTCCTGTAAAAGCCTCAGGTAAAAAATAATCAAAATAGTAATCAATATTTGCAGTTCCAGTCAGCATCACGTGTATCAATCCCCTGTACAACCACTGGCACGGATGCTCTAGCTTGTTGCTGCTAGGGACAATCAAAGGGCTGAGAGTGCTCCGGATCAGAACTACGAGGCTTGTACTCCCCAAGTAGCAGTACAGAATTTACAGTATTCCCTTAAGAACATATATATATATATATAATGAAGATTTCGCCAAGAGCGCATGTTTTTATTTACTGAGGAAACGTAACCTGACTTGTGCTGGGGGTTCTCCACGCAGCAGACACTCCAGGAGTGGGCAGTGTGCAGATGTTAAGTAAGTACAACAAGGGCGAATTAACATGGTCTTAAGAGCCAGTTTGCAGACAACTCCCTCACAGGCACAAGGCACTGGCTGTGAAACAGAACATTAAACACGGGCCTTCACATGGCATCAGGTAGCACATTTCTGTTTATTTGCCTTTTTCAAGGATTCTAATCATCGCTGGAGTGCATACAAGATGTACAGTAAAAGATTAAAAGACTTCTTTATCATTGTTTTCGGTGCCATGAAGGGCCACAAACTTGGCTTTTTTATTTTTTATTTTTAAAGGATATTTGGTCGTGCTCTGGCTGAGATGTCACAGTCCAGAGAACAACCTGAACTTTTAAGCAGGTAAAAGTGAACCTATTTGGTAGGCTCTATTACCGAGCAAACACTGCCAGTAGAGCAATATGCCAGACATTTTTCAGTTTGTGAATCCCCACATTTAGAAAAACAGTAAGAAATCAGACTGCAGGGCGGGTGGGTACGGAGGTGCCTGGGGTTTTTCTCCCATGTTCCCACCTGTTGTCCTCTCCTCTGGGTGTGTATTTCAGTGCAGCGGTGATGACCTGCAACGGATTGGCTGGGCCTAGGCATACACAGCTCGCCCAGAGTCTGACTCCTCGCATTAGTAACTTCCATATATTATATATTAATACCCGAGATCTGTTGTCCCCCATGTCACCTTCACATGATGCTCTGTCTGTTCACGTCCACATTATAGGCTGACGAACTGGAACAGCCTCGGCCAAAATCTATGAAAATACCTTCAGAATCAGAGTCGATAGACTCCAAAATCTGATCCACTATATTCTCAGGGCTGGAAGAAGGAACTGGAATCAAGGCAGGGTCCCTGTCCAGCTCAAAAGACCTATGTGGGTCATCCATAGAGTGAAACAGTCCTTTCTGTTGCTCAGCTGTGTTGAGTTTGCTAGAACATTGCACTGAACCAGCACTGGCCCTTTCCTGGTCTCCTGAGAGCGAGTTCTTTGTGGCCGTCATGGAGCTCTTGGAACCGCTGTCCATGATAGTGGTGAGATTGGAGTATCCCTGGAGCTCCAGGCAGGAGGTCATCTCGGACACAGAGTGCCTCCGGATGCCCGTGCCGTTGGCAGCTATGGCCTCGGTCTCGTACTCAGCTACCGGTGTCAAGAGCGGGTTGTTGTAGCTTTTCGATCTCACCACGGGGTTCTTGGCAAGGATGTCACCCGACTTGGAGCGCCTGAAGTACCGCTTCTCTGGGAACAGACAAAGGCTCAGATTAGTATCTACTACACGTGCCACTTTTATGGTATCACAAACTATAGGTGTTTAAAAAGAAGAGTCAATGGCCTAATGACCGCAAGTCTTTCTTAAATGACGGAAATTTTTAAAAATACCTCTGCCTGGCTTTAACTACCCACGGGACTCAGTTTTTCTAGACTCCTTTACTGAATTAAAGGCTATTTAAAAAAAAATAACATCTAAGATTCTGTTATATGAGTTCAGCAGCTGCAGTGAAAAATTCTGTAGGTCACTTGAGTTGCAAATACTTTCATTAAGAAACAACAGAATGGGAAATCTGCCCTTAATTATTTTTGCTTGTAAAAGTTATCACTAATTTCTAGTAGTTGAGAGGTGTCTGAAAGCTAACTTTGCACTAGGTCTGAAGGAATCAAGCTATATTTCACTTTACCCCTATTTGTGCTTTCAAAACCTCATTTCTTTCCATTAAACCAAAACTGTTTTGAAGAGAGTGTGCTACCAATCCCTACACAAAAGCAAGGAACCAACCACTCACCTCCGGAAAATCAGGCCCCTTCAAATCTGGGGCACAAAGAGTGAGGCAGGCAGTTCTTACTGATCACTTTTGAGAAGCTTAAATTCAAAGCACTGCTCAGAGGCCACGCAAGCAAACGCACCATGATCATTCTGCGGCGTGAGCTGGGTTGCAGTGTCCCCAGCGACAGTTTTGGGCAACAAACCTGCACTCATTCCCACAGAAATGTTATTAATGCTGCTTTTGGCCAAGCGAGTTCTTTCCAAACACTGAGCAGTAGATGGCAGCACTTCAGCATGGAGATCCTCTGAGAGTACTTGGGACTGCAGTGTTCTCATGGAGCTCCATCAGAATGAGAATCTTTCTAACTGGTGGAGAGATTTCGTTGCTAAGACTCACTTGTATTGGAAAAAGACAATGATCTTGTTGGTGTGACTGATCTCCCTTTTGAGGCTTTCTCCTTGCTGCTGTCACTTTGCCGTCTCCACGAAGGGACATGGCTGGGGAAGGGAACTGAGAGACAGTCTGGAAGGTGACCACAGCCACTGGATGTAAACTGTCCGCTTTAAATTATGATACAGATATCGGTATCTCCTCCAGCCCATACAGTTTCCTTTAGAAATGCCCTTCTCTTCTAAAGTTATACAGACCTGTTTACCTCGGCAGAAATGACAGTTATATGCTGCACTTAACACTGCCTTTTGCAGATGTTTTTCCTCAACACTAAAAATTGAGGGAGCCAGTTCACTTCCAGACCTTGTCCTTGTTGATCTGGCATTCAGAGAAGTTTTCTTGGTGCAACTCTGCTAGACTTGCTTTCGCTTTTTGGTCACGTCAAGGTCGGGCTGGAAGAGAAGGCCAGGTGTGCTAGCCAGATGGAGAATAAAAGGGGGCAGCAGTCCCACAAAAAATATTGTTTTAAATCCTACTACCAAATAGCAGGACAGAACTCGATGTGTTAATTTAAAAGTACAGGGACTTTTGTGCTCAAATCCCTTGGATCCAACCAACCTCATCTTCTGCAATTGCAAGGAACATTTATTCTCTATAGTGAAACCTATTTCACTGGAATTTTATTAGACTTTAAGTACTTTTTTTTTTTTTTGGTCCTCACATACATAAGCTTGTACTCAGAAAACATCAACTTGGGAATATATTTAAAGGCCTGCGGTCCTTTAATGGCAAGTGACAAATACAAAGTAGTAATTTTGAGCCACTTTCCATAAATAACTGGCCTGGATTTATTCATGTAAAACTGATTTGTTTCTTAAATGCCTATTGCATCGCAACCATTTTTCCCATTGAGCTTCAGGGGAAAATCAACTACCTTATTGACCATTCCTGACAAGCAAACAGATTAAATTGACTGCATAGAAAACGCACAATTTAACCCATTTGCTCCTCTGCTTTCTCATTCAAGCAGGCTATTGCTGCATTTACATATAAATCTTTGAGTGCAATTTACCACATTTCCCTTTTGATTTGCACTGCTAGTATTTCCCTTGCACTTTCATCAGATCGAATTAATAAACGGGCTTTTCAAAAGACCCTCATCCTAAGGCCTAATCTTGCCTTCACAGGAGTCACTGAACACTTCGGTGCTCAGGACATCACAGACAATAAACTGGAAGGGACTCATCAAGGTCACCTCGTCAGCCCTCCACCACAAGGCAGGACCACGTGTACCCACTCTGCTCCTTATGGGTGCTTATGGGACATGTATATAGGTCCTCTAGTAATGGATATTATTCCTCCAGGCTCCAAAACCAGTTTATTCCAGCGCCCAACCGAGGTGACACCAGGAAGTTTCCCTTCCATGGCATCCAAACTTGCCTTGCTATGTGGGATCCGTTCTGTTTTGCTTCTCTGCAGCTGCACAGAGATTTCCTTTTTACCTTCCCATCTGCAAAAAGCTTTTGCGTGTCTGCAGGCTTAGCACTTACTCTTCTCGGGGCAAAATTCTCTTTCTGGCTTTAAACCACTTTGCACTGTCTTTGTGCACTGGGGAACAGACACTACTCACTGCTCTAGAAATTTGGTCAACCTTCTTAATCGAAGGTACAGTGGAAAACTGAGATACACCTCAGATTCATGGATTTAAAGTAATAAGAACTGCTACCATGATGTGCTTTCCTCCTGCTCAGCCTCCTTTGGGCCTGGCCACACTGTATCAGCACAGGTGGTCTTCTCTTGGGAGGACTGTGTGTGGGGTAGCCTTTCGGGGAAGCACTCTGTGCTCTGTCAGATAAAGCCACGATTATTCTTACCCAAAATACAAGAAGCGTGTGTGAAGGGTCCATCACTGGAATACAGACCGTATGTGCCCAGGTAAGGAGAAACAACTTTCTGGATTAGGGATTCCAGTTTCAAATAATCCTCAGTCACACCTTTCGACTCGTGAACCCCCTGAAAGACAGAAGATACCCCAGGTGAATCCTGTCTCCTCGAGCCACACGTTTTCTTTGCTCATGGGCGTGCAGCGACAGCAAATCTCTTCATTACAGCTGATTCCTCCTCCTGTAAAGCCAAGGGATGTGAGTCCAGCTGGAGAGATCCCCACGCAGGAACTCCATAAATGCTCAGAAAGGGACAGTATCTACTTCCAGGGGTTTAAAAAGCTGCATCCATGGGCAATGCAGGATTAACTCTGTGAAGATCAATTAAAAATCTCACTGGGCTTTTTGGCTATCATAAACCCGCATGGACTACATGAAGGAAAGATGGAGCAGCCCCGGGTGCTGCACCAGAGGCTGGTACCACAAGGTGACACTGCCATCAAAGCAATGCCACCAGGATTAAGGAAAAGATAAATGCAGGACTCTAAAATACCTCTTCCAAGATATTTTCAATAAAATATACTTCTGTTGAAATATGAATTTGTAAGTATAAATACATATTTACACTGAAGGGCTTTCACACCTCCTTGGCACTTGTTATCCAGGCAAAAATCACATTAAAACCACTCATGGTAAGATTCACCCATAGCAAAAGCTTTTGCCATCAGCACTTAACTATCCCATTCCATCCAGGAGCAGACTTAAAAGTCTGGGCACTTGCCAGGTAGCTGCTGTGAGCTGGAGTCTCTCTTCACTTACTGGTGCCTGGTCAGAGTCCTTTCGACTCACATGAAGGATTTCCCTTGTTCCCCAAAGCACATGCACATTTCAGTGTGGCTCTGCACAGCTGTAGGATATATATTTTGACATATCTTTTTGTAAAGTTAAGACTATAAATGTCAAACTCGGTGGGAATCCAGCAGAATTACAGATTTAAGAGTGTTAAAAGCCCAATCAACACATTGCTATCAAAGAAGCAAGGCAGAACTATGTGGATCACATGAGTAAAACTGCAACACATGCTTCATTATGTGAAAGGATCCTGATGTCCAAATGCATCTGCTGCTTGGTATGCTTCCCTAAAAAGTGTCTACAAAAAAATAATATTGGCCTGAGTATTTGAGTATATGAGTTTCTGAGCGACGTGTTTTGCCTCTGGGCCGCGGTGCTTGGCTGACTGACACGGCTGGCCACATTTATGCTCCTCCACTTAATAGCAGTTTGTGCATGAAAAGTAATAAATAATGGCTAGCCAAGCAGAAACAGAAGCTTCATGAGTGGGTTTTAAATAATGAATAACAATCTTTGGAAATGTGCTAAGTCCTGTCAGGCTTCACAAATACAAACCGGAAAGCAAGGGCTTATGCTGAAAGCTTGCAAGCACCATGGTAGCTGCAGAATGATCCCATGCTATTCAATGAATTAAAAACAGATAAAAATAACCTAGAAATAACTCAGGAGGCTTGGCGAAGGTGTGCCTATTATTTTAAACTAATTTCTGGCAAGTTAACGATCATATCAAATTCAGAACCAGTAACGAAGACTGACATCTCAGGCCATCAGTTGCCTCCGCACCCAGCTTCCTAGATATGATATACAGAGCTAGTGGCAAAGGTGTTCAGTACTGCTCATGGCCAGAATATGGGCTAAGGCTCTATTTCTTTTTCTGATGTTTAAGCATCTTAGCTGCTCCCCTTCAAGCCACAAAATACCATTTTTACAGTGTAAAACCTCCTCCTGTGACCCAGACAGCCTTCATTCGGATCCCTCCGTCCAGCAGTCATTCACGGGAGGCTTTCAAAACACACTGAAAAGCCAGAAAACTCCCGGCTTCCACCAGAGCGGCGACGGCTTCTTTTCCGCTCCTCGTCTTGGCATCCACCTGCAGGATCCTTCCTGCATTAACCACCGTGCACTAAAAGCACTAAAGCGGTGCATGGGGCAGCCCACCTTGAACAGTGCCCTACAACAAGCTGCAGGGCCCAAAGTGCATGTGTAACATGGAGCCGCTTCTGCATTTCTCTCTGCTGTGTTATTCGGAGACAAACCTTTCCCTCCAGAAGAAGGGAAAGCCTTAAAAGCTGATATGGGTCAAGGAGGGCAAGGAGTTTTGGTGGGAAGGGTATGTGTATCTATATATACCCATAATAAATATGTATTTTTAAATGCATCCTTTCCCAAATATTTAAGTAATTATGCTTAAACGTTAGATGAAAGCCAATTTGTGATTTTTATCCACATCATAGTGGTTTCTGAGAAACTAATGGCAGCATTTAGAATTCACCAATATAAAAAGGTTTATTTATCTTGCTATTTTGGCAGCTCTTGGTTCTTGTACTTACTGCTTGATATCTTATTTGTTTGGTATGTCAAAATATAGCAGTAAAGCAAAAGTCAGATGGAGCAGGCTAGCTGCTTAGCTTACAGGAAGCCATGTCATCATCTGGAGAAAAAGAATGAAAACTTGGAGCACTAGCAGTAAAACAGAGGCTATACCCTTATCTTTAGCACAAAATATGCTCTGCAGACATGCAAAAACTCACTCTAAAATATTACCGTGACCATCTATGAACCCAATTTCATTTTAGCAGGAGTTTCCTGTTTCCTTCAGTGTGTTAAATATCTCTATTAAATGCCTTTCATAGGCTGTCTCTGACCCATTCATCTCTCAACTGAAGGCCAAAGTAGTTCAATATCGAACAGCAGCAAGAGCCTAAGCACTTCTGGAGGAGAGTAACTTCAGATCAAGTCCTGATTTTTGTTTGAAATGCAGCAGTCACCTCACGATATTTGGAAGGTTAATAATGTAACATATCTGGCGACAGGAGTCTGCCATATCCCCATCATCCTTCAAGACACTGATAGTGACAATTTGAGTCCTGAAGCTGTCACATCCTTGCAAATGGAAAGGGTCTGTACTCAGCATCAAGAAAAGAGATAAATATTTCAGAATATAACACAGCACCCAGGCTGCTTACTTCATCACTTCCGATTAAATCATTTGGAAAAAGAGAACTGCATGTCGCAGTTTGAAAGTGTTAAAAGGATCCAATGCACCACTACTTTTGACATACAGACCCATAAACCTTCCCAAAAGGGTCATATGCACTGAAGATTGCATGTTACTGAGTGAGGTGTTACTGTCCTCTCCACTGGAAGGTAACTGCATAATCCCTACCACTACACTGGGAGCAAAACTCACGAGTCAGAGCGTCCCAGGCAGCCCGGGTGCACTGACCTGCATCTACCCTGGCCGGGTGTTTAAATGACACAAGGACTTTATGCGAAATCAAAAGGGAAAGGATGGGTGATAGTTCTTCTTTTGGCCCTGCACATCCAGAAGAATAGCAAGGGATTTAGTGAACCATGGAAGCCCACAGGCTCCTTTTAAAATTTACAGCAATTCTCTGTGCTCCTAAAATGGATGCTGAAGAATCCCTCCCAAATGTAGCCTTCAAACCTGCCTCAGATTAATGTTTACAGATGTAACTTTCTGCATGGCTCACATGCTCTGCCCTTACTGGGGGGGCATTTAGTCAGACATTGCTGCATCTTTATTCATCACAATAATTGAAATCCTTTCCTTTTTGCTTACACGCATACTTAAAATATAACCTGACAGCAGGAGCACTTCCAGAATGAAAGCACTATAGAAATACGTAAGTCCTCAGCAAACATCCCAATGACTATAGAGCTACTGTGTCATTTTCAGCCCATCAGGGAGGTGTTCAGGCTGTCTCAGAAATTAATCATCCACTTTCCACCTCGTGTTGGCCACTTAGCTTCCTCAGGCTCCTGTAACAAAACCCAGAGATGAAGCAATCTGAAAAAAAAAAGAAAGAAGGAAAAGAAAGAAAGAAAGAAAGAAAAGAAGGAAAAGAAAGAAAGAAAGAAAGAAAGAAAGAAAGAAAGAAAGAAAGAAAGAAAGAAAGAAAGAAAGAAAGAAAGAAAGAAAGAAAGAAAGAAAGAAAGAAAGAAAGAAAAGAAAGAAAGAAAGGAAAGAAAGAAAGAAAGAAAGAAAGAAAGAAAGAAAGAAAGAAAGAAAGAAAGAAAGAAAGAAAGAAAGAAAGAAAGAAAGAAAGAAAGACACAGCCCTGGCGAGCTGCTTAGGCTGCTGCTAGTCTGGTATGTCTCTAATATGTCTCTAATATTAGAGAGCCAGACTGAAACAGGACCCAGAGGTCTGGGCTTCCCGTGTTCCCGTAAGCAGATGCAGAACATCTTGTGGGAAAGGCCTGGCTAGTGAAAGCTGCGATGGTTCAGAAAGGGGGGAGGTTCTGTGCCGTGCGCTGCTTATGCCTCTCACTTCTCACCCCATAAGTGGATGCAAAGCAGGCACAAGGGAAAGAAAGGCTTCCCCTAGCTTCACTAAAATCTTGGGAGGTTGGTGGTTTACTTTGGGGGAAGTATGACTTACCCTACAATTCTTGCAATGCATCACCCTCTTGATGGCAGAAAAGAGAATCCAGCATATAAATCACAATTTCTGGAGAGAAAAAGGTTAGAGCTAAAGCTGTCCTGTCCCCTGAGAATCAGGCATATCTGAAGAGGATGTCTCACTCGGGCCAAGCTGCTGGAAATAAACTCAGCTGCTGGCTGTTCTTTTTGCTACCTGCTTCTCTTGGGTGCTTCAAGCTATTCCACTGCAGGGTCTCAGCTGGATCTCCACATAGACATAGCTCTTGTATATCTGATTTCTTTTCTTTTAACTCTTCACCTCCCTCCACTTCTCGCCCTTGCCATCTGCTCTGCCCCAGTACCCCACATCAGTCTTGGGCTCCCAGAGTCTCTTTTAGGCCGTATGCAAACCCCAGGCCATCCTCTGAGCTCTTCTGCTGAGCCTCCCCACATTCATCTTTACTGAAGGCTGCTTCACTTATGGACAACTCGAAGTTGCCCCAGGCAGCTCATTTGTGTCTGAAATACTTACTCCTCACTCATTTTTTGTGTGTGAAAAAAAGCATAAACCACTATTAAATACCAAACTACTGCTGAGTGCTGAACAATAACTTCATGTTTTTTCTCACTATTTATGAAAAGGTCGCAGGTCCTTTAAAGTTTTCAATTCTG